TCTCTGTTGCTACATTTTCTAGTAGTGAGATCCATAAAGAAAAGAAAATTGTTACCAAAATAGTACGAGTATACTTGGTTAAATCAATTTTGAACATGATACCTAGCATGGACATTACCTCCTGAATTGAAATGCGAACAATAACAAACTCTGGCAAATTAAAATTAAAAATAAAAATTCAGCCAATCATTAGTTTTTCAGGAAGACTAGAAATCAACCTATAAATAAAGCTTAAAGCATCTCTAGTAAGTTGTGAAACACCTTTCCTTGATTAGCTGCAGTTCATATAATTGAATGAATACGCTAATTTACACAAAATGCAGCTCCATTATGAAAAATTAAGAAAGATAACAATTGACTGCAAAAAGAAAGGGGACCATAGAATCACAGAACCACCTCCCCCGACTAACTGAAAATGATACATTTGGACATCACTTATCTGTCTTGTGGTTGTGGGTCAATGAAATGGCTAGACTGTTGTCCCTTTGTAAGATAAGAAAATGCTATTCTATTCAATTGGAGAAGGCTCAAGGAAGCATAAGGTTGCACGCGCCTGAAATCACAAAAATATCGACTCTCATTTTGTAACACCAAATCGAACAGTGATCATATAAATACACAACTACCAAGCAGGTACTATATCAAAAATGATGACACAAGGGACATTTTCAACAGGTAGAACAAGATATAAGTTCAGCAGTGAAGAGGTTCATAAGAAAGATAAGAGTTTCATCAATCATGCTGGATGGCCGATGGACCACATAACCAATCATAACTAGCCAATAAAGTATCAAGTAGCTTGAAAAAGTATCTTGTGTTACCTTGAAGATGAGCTTTCTTCCCTCCTTGAAATATTGAAGAATATGTTATAGTCCACTCAATAGATTGCTGGAGATTTTTCTGTTTCAGGTGTTGAAGTACAATTAGATTCCAGTTACTCTTCGAATGTAATACAGTAAAACCCAGCAAAAATCATATATTAAAATTAGATCACACTGGGTAAAAGAAGTCTTTGGTGGAAGGAGTAAAAAGAAGCGGCATTGAGTTTCTAATACCAAAGAGACGACTCTTAAAGATGCTTTCCATGAGGTATTGTTACTCACAATACATTGGCTGCAAGAAGAATATTAGTCCACTTCCTTCCGTCTGATAAGACTCTTCTAGATATGTCTGAGTTTGACTTCCTAATATCTTTAGAATCAATTCTAGTTTCATCTCCATTGAAAAACATAAGCTCAAGAATGGCAGAGATTGACGAGACCATTGAAAACCATTACCTAAAAGCTGAAGCGCCTTTTTATACCATATATCCTTGAATTGAAGGGCATCACCAAGACAAGAAATATTCTGTACAAAAAACAAAAAATTGAAGTGAAATCTTCCATGTTCTATCAACACAATGAACTACTGATGCAAGGACAAACTTAAATGCTGCCACAGTAAGTAACTATTAGTTGCTTCTCACGCCTTTGGCAAGATATGACTAACAGTCCTTTTGTCAAATTCTAAGATTTTATTCTATACGAAAGACGAACGATACATAACCTATCAGGTTTTAGTCACACTGAATCTAAGTGTATATGAATTTTAGATCTCCATGGATGATCAGTTCAGTATATTCACAAATCCACACACCCTGAAACGGAAAGATGCCATATTATTATATTATTTCAGCCAATTAAAGCTCCGAGGGTAAGACCAACTCTGAAACTTAATTTGTGAATCTATTATGTGAATATGCGAGAGCATGTTTGGTTTCACTTAAAAGTAAGTATTCACCCAACATGATTTTCAAAATCACTTTTCACACTAACAAAATTTAAAGGCACAGACCAACATTCTCTGATCTATTTCTTGTTTGTAAAATCTTTTAATTGCAAAATCATGGAAATTCTTCCTAATCGATAAACCTCGGGATTTCTATTATCATCACAGGAACTCAAGTTTAAAAGCTACTCATTTTAGCATAATTTATTTGCAAATACACCAGCATAACCATGAAAACATATCAACTACCGACAAGGGGGGAATCTCACGTAATTTATAACAATTTTATCTGTAACAGCAAGCTAATATTACCATGAATCGACTAATCAAAAAAAGAATATTCAAGAACGTTCATTACGTGCCCCACATGTATAAGGCTCAGGAATGTTTTTTATTTTGGAGGAATGAAGAAGGGACCCAAGATGGATATGGCGGCAGTAGAGTACGGCGTCGCCAAGGCGGAGAGCGGC